GTATTTAAATATTAATTATTAATTGTATCTGTCAGTCTGTATTTGTATTTGAATATTAATTAATTATTAATTGTATCTGTTAGGTTGTATCTGTATTTAAATATTAATTATTAATTGTATCTGTCAGTCTGTATTTGTATTTGAATATTAATTAATTAATTATTAATTGTATCTGACAGTCTATCTATTTATTCATCCCTTCTTTCCTTCATTCATTCATTCGTTCACTCGCTCGCTTGTTTGTCTGATGCTTTTACCATTTTCTTATACCTTCATTCCTTCATTCCTTCATTCTTTCCTTCCTTCATTCATTCATTCATTCATTCATTTATCCATCCATCCACCATCCATCCATCCACCATCCATCCACCATCCATCCATCCACCATCCATCCACCCACCCATCCATCCGTCCATCCATCCACCCACCCACCCATCCGTCTATCCATCAATCAAAATAAGGAGCCTACTGAAGTGTGTTGAAGACGGCATAGACGAGATCATTATCAGGATCGTATGACGTCATCATGAGGTTCCCGAAATAGAATGGGAATTCCCCGGGCAAGCTGCAGTTTAGGCGCGCTTTCAAGAAAGTCGTCCAATTGTCTTCGATCAGTCTGGCGCCCTGATCGTTCTGAAGAAAAAAAAAAAATTTTTTTTCGTTTAAATATCGTTAAGGTTGTTTACAGTTATTATCGTTATTGTGGTTGTTGTTGCTATTGTTGTTAATGTCGCTGTTGTTAATGTTGTTGTTATTGTAAATGTTGTTGTTACTGTTAATGTTGTTGTTATTGTAAATGTTGCTGTTGTTATATTTGTCAATGTTATAGTTGTTGTTAATAATATTGTTGTTTTTGTTGTTTTTGTTCTTAATGTAGTTATATGTTGTTGTTATAGTTGATGTTGTAATTTTTTATTATGGTTGTTGCTATTGTTGTTGTTTTTATTGTTGTTGTTGTTATTGTTGTTATATTTGTTAATGTTATTGTTGTTAATGTTGTTATATGTTGTTGTTATGGTTGTTGTTGTAATTTTTGTTATTACGGTTGTTGCTATTGTTGTTGTTATTGTTTTTTTTGCTATAATAATAATAATAATTATTATTATTATTATTATAATTATTGTATAGTTAATTATGGTTATACAGTTGTTGCTATATTACTAAATGCTTCTGTGACTTAACTCGATTGTTTGTGTGCTATTGAATGCATGG